AATGGGAACATCTCTGCAGGTAGCGTGTTGATTTAGTGTGCCCCGGTTGGGGACGTATTCTCCTCAAGGTGCGTATTTGGAGGGGGGCTGCAGTGTCCAAGGTTGAGGTGAGGGTAGAGTTATATGAGGAGATAGCCAGTGAGGGACATGAGTAAGCAGGAATGGATAGTTGGGAATCGATATCAGCTGACAGCTGCTGGAGGTTTATAGAATGCAGATTCCTTCTGAGTTAAAGTGGCTATTGAGAGCAAATGATAGGAAATTATAATCTGAGAGAGGAAATGGAGTGTTGCAGATGTTAAAGGCTGTACATTCATGAGTGAAAATAAGGTCTAGAGTATTGCCTGCTACATGCGTGGGGGAATTAGCCCACTGTGATAGCCCAAGGGAGGAGGTAATAGAAAGTAGTTTTGAGGCTGCTGGGTTAATGGGAATGTTGAAGTCTCCGAGAATTACAGATGGAAAGTTAGAGGAGAGGAAGTAAGGAAGCCAGGCAGCAAAGTGGTCAAGGAAGAGAAGTGGGGAACAAGGGGGACGATAGATAACAGCAATGCTGGCAGAGATCGGTTTGAAAAGGCTGATTGAATTAATCTCAAATGATGAGAGAGGGAAGAGGGTATGGGTAGAGGTTTGAAGGAGCAGTGAGGTGAGAGCAGAAACCCTACACCACCACCTTTTATTTTCAGTTTCTTGGGTTGTGGGAAAATTGAAGACCACCAAAGTCTTTATCCTCTGTCCATCATAGTCTCTATTTACACGAAGGGCAAATGTGTTTTTTATTTTTTTATTTTTTTTTTAAAGGTGTGTTCTTTAGTATTACAACAAAGATGTTCTAAATACAATATTTTGTCATCTGTGGTAAAATGCCCTCTGAATGATCATATCTGCAGTTTTATTTCTTGTCACTAGAGGGTAGTAGTGTCCTTTTTGAGTTTTCTCCTGCTGTTCATTTCTGTGAGTGAAAGGTCAAATGCAGTACTGAGACAGGCTCCAGACTATCACATATATAAAGTGTATTTTAGGGTATAGCCCTTTTAGCTAGAAAGTGTCTTGTTGGCTTTAGTGTCAGTCTGAAAAATGTAATTTTCAGCTACATTCTTGTAGAAAAAACTTTTATTTTATTTTTTTTGTGTACCACCGCCGAATGATTGCATAGGGGTAGGCGACTGGTCTATTTCAACTTGTACAGGAACTAGAGTACGTGGAATAGAAAGTATAAATGACTGTTCATGCAAAAATGAATTATTAGTATAAATAATTTATTAATCATTGAGGTTCATTTACTAAAGTGAATGCTATGTGGATTTAAAAGATTGTGGCCAAAAAAGACAAACTGAAATCACAGGTGACTTGCCAATTGTTTTTTTTTTTTTTTTTTAATCTGAATTTGTTTTGTTTTAATTAAAATTAGAATAGATGTATACCCTTTTCTGTGCACATTCTAATATTTGTCATGCAATTGTCTGAAAAATGGTATCCAAATGGTTTTAATTATTAGCTACATTTTCTGTCCTTCGTATTATTTAGAGGGCATTTATTTGATTGACAATCAAAAAGTAACGAGCAGCTGGTCTTTGTTCTGACACTAATATTATATACCTCATCAAAAGGTTGGTTTTTTTTTTAATTGAATATTTTCAAAGTTATTATGATACGTTTCCAAAAGAAAACATTAGCGAACCCTGAACAAAGTTCTGGGATGGCTTGTCAATTCTGTGCACAACTGGCTTCTAACACCACGTACAACAAACCTATATGCCTGACTGACAGTGTTACACTAACTATTTAGGTACCCAGCACAACTTGCCTCTTAATAAAAAGGTGTTTCAACTTCCCCTTTTGTCCATAGATGGTGCCAGTCTTGCCGCAACTGGTACCACTTCTTTGGCTGAGGTCATCAGTCTTGATGTTCTTAGCCAATCCAATGCTTTTCCATAGGACAGCGTAGGGAGGCTATTGCACATGCATGGCACCAATCAGTATCTCCTTGTAGAGATGCATTTAAGCAATGCATCTCTATGGGGAGTGTTCAGCGTCTCCATGCAGAGTTTGGAAATGCTGATTGTAGGTGCTGCACACTATGCAGCACTGAGATACGTGTAGCACCTTTAGTGGCCGTTTTTAATGACTGCCTTTAGAGGTGTTACTAGGATGAAATGTAAACATTGCCTTTCTGGCAGTTTGATGATAAGTAGTGGCGATATTCTGTACATTTAAAGTTTTTTTTTATTTATTTTTTTATTTTTTTTTTTTATTATTATTATTATTATTTTATTTTTTTTAAGTAACACGGTTTCTTAACCAACCTGGCATTAACTGAACATGCTGATGGCAATCACACTCCTATCAGCCCATACATGCTGTGATCAGGGAGATCCCAGCTTATACAGTGTTGCTACTGATAGGAGTATGATTGCTGACAGCCAGTCCAGTACATTACGATAGATTATTCACCCTATCACCTCCCTGCCTTCAGCTGAGTTCCACATGCGGAAATTTACGGAGGTCACCACGTGACGCTTTATTGCCTGGCAGCTACGGTTTCCAGATGCAGAAGATTGCGTGTGGTGACTGGGAGAAGCGAGTAAGTTATTGGTGTGACGGAGCTCCTGTACTCCGACAAAGTATCCGCTTCCTAGCCGTATGGAATGGAGCCTGGAGCGCTTAAACTCCTGCCAACTGGTGTCTCTCTGGAGCTTTTCCACCTGACCAGGCTGGCATCGCCCCCTCTGCCTATTCCACTGCAGCACTTCTTCCAGGTAGGTATCCACCTCTGCTTGCATTGTGGTTGCTATTGCCTTTACAAAGGCACTTGCAGCTCTCGGGTCTAGTTCTCTTGATTTATCCCAAGGCTAAAGCATCAGCATCAGGTCCGAAGACTGTTACTGGGATCCTTAAAAAATCCTCACAAAACACCGTTCCAAAAGTAATGATGCACCGCTTTGTTTATTTTTATTTGGGACTAGCCCATATGCTTATTACATCAAGCTTTCTGTGACAAACTTGGTAAAATACAAATAACCAAAACTTGTCTGAAAACATACAAGAAATTTATAATAACATATTTATAAAGGGGTTGGGAACACAATATTTAACACAAGATCTCTGTCTTGCCTGCAGATTTAGCAGTATGCAAATCTACCTGAATATGCAAGTTAACAAGCCTTGCTATTCAGGTAGTGCTTATAGCTGTTGCTACCAACAGAGCCATACAGGCTCCAGAGACAAATCTATTTAGTTGACAGCAAGACATGAGAGCACACAAAACATTTAACCATATTATAATGGGTACAGGGTGACTAAAACACAAGAACAAATAAGTAAAGTGTCCTTCTGCTCCTCGTCACACAGTGTAATTCAGGGTAAGTAAGAAGCCTCAGGACCAGGACCATAGTAGGTGAAATGTCTGCTTGTTTAACAACAATGGTGGCATCACAGGACGTATTACTGTGTGCTGGGGAACGTGGGATATTTACACGTTTTCTATAATTTTTTTTAAAAAAATTAAATCTGTACTTTTTACTATGGTGTCTTTTTTTTTTTTTTTTTTTCTTTACTTTGTGGTCCTTTATCTGGTTTTGACATGCATGGTTACAGTTGCATACATTGGGGACACCCGATTTACAGCTACATGTTAACTAGCACTCAGTGTTCGTAATCTATCCTCAATGTTTACGTTTCACCAGGTGATCTTGGGGAATTACAATTGGTTGACATTTGAAGAGGTCTACTCGTTGGCTGCTCAGTTCGGAAATGGTCTTGCTCAACTTGGTCAGAAACCAAAGTCTAACATTGCCATATTCTGTGAGACACGAGCAGAGTGGATCATCACAGCCCAGGCATGCTTCATGCACAACTTCCCTTGTGAGTATGTTTCAATCATTAGAAAGGTGTGATAGATGGGAGACACCAGTGTCTAGGTTTATGTTCTAAAAGGCAGTTTTGATACCCAGTTGTGGAAGACAATTAATCGGCTTGAAAATATTCTGTAACTTTCATATAATTGTCGTACGAGATCTGATCTTTGTCACTAGAACAGAGCAACAAATCACCATTAAATTCCCCACCCTAGCTGTGCTCTTTGTTTATATATTTATTTGAAACATTTAGATATCACACGGCATATAATAAATATATATTGCTGTAAGCATAAATAGTTGATCTAAAGCTTGGAATAAATGTGTTCTATATTTTTATAATGTTGATGTTCTTTTAATTGTTCATAATCTGATCTGGGTCATCCATGATGCCCCTTAAACTCTCCAGTTCTCAGTTTAATTCTATTGCTTTCCTAGTTTCATTCTTCATCTTCTGCGTGTGTTACTATTCTTTATTTTTATTTTTAAAATCATTTATAAAGCGCCAACAAATTCCGTGGAGCTGTATAATGATGGACAAACAGACACGTACCGTATATACTCGAGTATAAGCCGACCCAAATATAAGCCGAGGCCCTTAATTTTACCACAAAAAACTGGGAAAACTTATTGACTCGAGTATAAGCCTAAGGTGGGAAATGCAGCAGCTACTGGTAAATTTCTAAATAAAATTAGATCCCAATAAAATTACATTAATTGAATATTTACAGAGTGTGTGTATATAATGAATGCAGAGTGTGTGTTTGTATGTTGTTTGTGTGAATGCAGTGTGTGTAAACTGGTTGAGGGGAGTGCATTTTTATTTAAATTGTTTATTTTTTATATTATAATTTAATATTATTTTATTATATTATTATTTTTTATTTTAATACTTGCATTATTTTGGTCAGGCAACAAGCAGGGAGGGGGGACAAAAAAACCATAAAAAAAATAAATAATGCAAATTATTAAAATAATAATAATATAATATATTATTAAAATAAAATAATAGTAAAATAATAATATAATAAAATATTACAATAAAATAATACTGAATCCCTGGTGGTCCAGTGACATTGGCTGTTAAGTGGGGGGGCTGACAGTGAGCTGTTACTTACCTTCCTGCAGCTCCTGTCAGCTCCCTTCTCCTCCGTGCAGCTCCTCTGTCAGCTCCGTTCTGCTTACAGTGTTCGAGACTTACACTGTAAGCAGAACGGAGCTGACAGGAGCTGCACGGAGGAGAAGGGAGCTGACGGGAGCTGCAGGAAGGTAAGTAACAGCTCACTGTCAGCCCCCAACAGGACCGCTGGGCTTGTAATGAGCCCGGCGGTCCTGGTCTTTATTATGGCAATGTAAGTTGCCATAATACAGACCCTGACTCGAGTATAAGCCGAGTGGGGTTTTTTCAGCACAAAAAAGGTGCTGAAAAACTCGGCTTATACTAGAGTATATACGGTAATTGTAACCAGGCAAGTTGGATGCACAGGAACAGAGGGGTTGAGGGCCCTGCTCAAATGAGCGTGCATGCTAGAGGATGATATAAGCTTATATAGATGACAACATTCTGTAAAAACGGCAGGCAATCCTCTCCATAAATTCTAAACTATTTCCTTCAAATCTCTTATATTTATATGTGCTCTATTTTTAATAAACAAATGCTGCTCTGTATTTAAAGATTTTCCTTATAAAATAAATTGTCTAAAATCCCTGTACTAGCCTAGTCCTCAATTTGACCTACAATAAGCGGATCCCAGAATGATGCAACAACTTGTCACAGGCTTTCATGTCACATTACTTCCCATCACCCTGCCTCTTCCTCCTCCTTATGCAATGATCGCCTCTACCAACGGCTAAACTTTTAAAATTCCACGTTTACAGAAAACCTGAGCTTTCTCCATCCCCCTCATCCTCTCTGAAATTAAGGAGCTTTATTATCTAATATAATAAACACTCTCCAGTCCCCTTTTCACCCCTGCTCTGCTTTTCCCATCAAGCTGATGACCTGCAGCAGGATGTGAGGGGGAGAACAGTGTACTCAGGACATGAGCCTGCTCTGGTTTTTTGAAACGTGCTGTGTCTCACTGCTGGACTTTCACCCAACACACCAACTGCTATTCTTGCACTTTATACACTGAGCCCGGAGACTCGTTAGAAAGATTAATGTGTTTTACTGACATCTTCGTGTATGAATGTGTGTGTGTGTATTATGTATCTTTTAAATAATTGTGTGTTTTGGAAAGTTAGCGTGGGCACGAGTATGTTACATATACAGGGTGAAAGATGGATCACCTGAGAGAGTTATAACCTTTGTCTTTTACTCTGTGAACTTCAGCGAACATGAACACGTGGAGAGGCTGAGATCTCTCAGCTTATCCTGGTCCTCCTGTTATTTTAAAGGGCAGCATCTGCTTTAGGCTCTCTCATAGCTTTGAGACTGTGACTGTAACCGCAAAATTAAGGCTGGGCGAGACACAGGAGCTATATAACATAACAATTTCATGTTAAACATCTAATACTATCCTTACCTTTTTGTGTAATTTTACACCACTCCCTCTAGCATGTAAGCTCATTGAGCAAGGCCCTCAACCCCTCTGTTCCTGTGTGTCCAACTTGTCTGGTTACAACTACATGTCTGTTCATCCACCCATTGTAAAGCGCTGCGGAATTTGACGGCGCTCTAGAAATATCATAATAATAATTGAAAGAACACTTTAATGTTAAAGGGACACTATAGGCACTCATACCACTTAAGCTCATTGAAGTGGTTTGGGTGCACTGTCCCTCTTAGTGTTGCAATGTTAAACTTTGCAGTTCCAGCAAACTGTAATGTTTACATTGCCTCACTAAATCTGCCTCCACTGACTGTCTACCAGAAATTGACCGGGGGTGCTTCCTGGATCCTAATGGACCTTTGGTCTGGTATTGGACGCTCGACGTCTTCGTGCTCTGCATATGGACATCCAATGTCATGCTTTTTACCCATAGGAAAACATTGATTCCTATGTACTGGCAGAGGGGACATCGGCGCTGGGATATGTTAAGTAAATAATGAGTTTTTAACACGGAGGGGGAGTGATGGTGTCAGGAATACAGCTATAGTATCCCTTTAAAGATACACATAGGTATTTATAATGTTGGCAGGCCCATATTGAGATCCCTTATAAATGTAAGTAAATAAAATTAGACTTGCCTTTCTTCTTACAGTGACTTCTCTTCCTTCATGTGAACTAAGCCAATCAAATGCTTATCTATAGAGCAGCATTAGGGGCAGTACTGCGCATTTGTACTGCTCCAGTAAGTGTCTCCTCGTGGAGGAGCAGTATGAGAAGCCTTTAAAGGGACACTATAGTCACCAAAACGACTTTAGCTTAATGAAGCAGTTTTGGTGTATAAATAATGCCTCTGAAGTTTTCATGCTCAAGTCACAGCCATTTAGGAATAAAATCCCTTTTTGTCGATGCAGCCCCAGCCACACCTCACCTCGTCGTGACTGACACAGCCTGCATTAAAAAAGAAAATAGATTTTACTTTCAATCTCGTGTAACTTACTTTAAAGGTTTTTAACTCATGCTCTGTAAATTGGGCTTTAATGACATACATGAGGCTCCTGCAGAGTCTAGCAAGCTATTACATTAAACAGGATTTGCAATAAAGGAAGTGTACACATTAGATGACTCTTTACAGGAAGTGTTCAGGAAGGCTGTGTAAGTCGCATCCACAGAGGGCTATATAAACAAAGTGATTTTACTCCTAAATGGCAGAGAGTTGAGCTGTAAGACTGTAATCATGGACATGATCTATACACCAAAACTGCTTCATTAATCTAAAGTTGTTTTGGTGACTATAGTGTCCCTGTGACTGTGTTCTGCATTCTTGTGACTCCAAATGTGAAGATTGCCTTATTAGTGGTTTATTCTAAAAATAAATACAATTAACTCTCCCTAGAAACTACTGAAAGAGGCTGCAATGTCTCATCCAATCCCTTTTCTCAATATTTTGACAGAGTACTTTACTTATCCTTTAAAATCCTGCCCAAATGGGTTTATAGGAAATATGGTTCAGTAAGCTGCTGCTGGTTTGTTCCATAGCTTTGTGAGGGAAACTAGTTACGTTCACAAGGGAACATGTATTTTCTGAGTAAGCCTGTTGTGAGTGACGGGAGGGTTATATTTGCAGACCTTTTTAATTGAATCTCTGCAATTTAAAAAAATTAATTAAATTTGTATTTTATTGGATTTTCCATTTCCAAAAGCATCTGTATCACGTTATAAAGGTGTAATGGCAATTCTCAACAGGCATACAAGAAAGTATATGTGGGTATCGACAAGCGTGGAAACACGCATCCTTGGGTGGGTGTCCCAGCCTCTAAGTATACAATTGGTTTTATAGGCAGTAGAATGTACACCAGGAGAAGATTAAAAAAAAAAAAGTGAGAACGCACTGTCAGTGTAAAAATAATAAAAATAAAAAAAAAACAGCATGCTTTCCCTTTACTCACTTTTTCTTTTTTCACTAGGGACTTGCACTGATAGAATGATTATTTAGACCAAGTTTTATTTATTTTTTTGTTTACTTCTAGCTAGTTGGGGTTTGGAAGTAGTAGATAGTGGGCGATACCTCATAGAGTGAGTACTAGATTAGAACACCCATGAAGGTGTTTATAGGAGCCTAGGGATTCATTTTGAGGTTGCTATATAGATTGTATCAGATATCCAGATTTCTTTACCTAGTGGTTTAGCACCTCCAAGACAAAAAGGGAGGGGACTTTCACTATCATTCTGGGCAAGTTTGCCTGGGGTATCCATAATATTTGGTCTTATTAACGGATTTATATTAACTGTTTCTCTGCCTCTCTATCCCTACCTCTACTTATCCTAGGTATCATTGCTCATTGTAACTCTATTATAAGGTATTAGCCCTACTGTTTTGTCTTCATTATTTTTTAGTCCCACTGACTACACAAGATAATTGGACTATTATAAATCTAGACTATACCATTATCTTTACCTCCACACTAGTCTTTTATTTAGGGGATCCAGTACAGTGTCCTTCTGGGTTTTTTTTTTTTTGGTTATCTTAATTGAAAGATTCAATAAAGGTTTTTGTTTATTATTATTATTATTTTTTCCTATTCAGCCTGCTAACAAGGACGCCAGAGGGTATTTTTGGAACTCATACATTAAATGTTCCTTTTTCCTTTTCCCCTAAATTAGCTCTCCATACTAGCTAGTTCAATTTATATACTGTTATTCAATGTTGTCCATTTATTATTTATGTCAGCATCCCTAGATCTCCCTAGCTGGAGATCATCTTTTATTATTTTTCAAAAAAAAAAAATAACTTAACTAAGGCAGTATCCTGCGCTATTCTCCAGTTATATTAACTCTACATATCTAGACAATGCCCATTGAAACTATAATATTGTACAAGAGCCCTATCTATATGTTGGGGCTATATAAAGTATTCAATATTAGTGGCTTAAGTCGGGGTACCTGGTATTTGAGCCTCGGGCAGGTGCAGTCTGTTAATCTCTGCAATTTTAAGCTGCAAACATGAATTCAAGGATATTACCTATAGGAGTACTGTGTAGTAATAATAAAAAGTCCAAGTGTGTTTGGGAGATAAATATCTCATTAATCCCTTATTATTCCATCACATGGTCTCCCAGAATGCCTTTTGTTTTGTAAAATTTTGTTAAAAAAAAGTTTTTTTAAACAAATTACTCTTTAGCTTCTTCTCCGTACATTTATGCTACTCTGAGAATTGTCAGACGCTGCTGGTATCTATGTAGCTTGCTTGTTTATCCCATAGGGGGAGAAAAGGTCCCATGCATGCGCTCCCACACGAACGCTATCCCTGAGAATACAAAGCTATCTGCACCTCAGCTGAGAGACACGGGATCAGCCGATTGCAGTGTGCAGTGCTGTAGCAAACAGCTGCTTCCTCTCCTGGCTCATCAACTCTCTGACGTCAATGTAGTGATTTTTGGCAAGTCCATGAGCATGTCAGGCTGGTTAACCTCACCGGTGCTGAAGTGACCGGCAAATCAGTTTTTACAGTATTGGCCGTGTTTGTTTTTGTGTATACGTTTGTATTTAAATGTTTTCTAATCCTTCTTAAGGTTTATTTACCAAGTTGTAAATTGTGGAGAACTGACGACCACTGAACCACATTTAACATTTTTAGACTAAAATTACCAAACTGTATCAGTTCTCAACTTGGTTTTGTTTCCAGCTGT